AAAATTAAAAAAACCTCCAAATTTTTTGAACGGATTTCGGGTCTCCCATTCGTAATTGAAACAAAAAATCAAGTTAATTTCGAGTAATTTATTTTTTTTAAAATTATAAATCAACAAATCGTAAATCAAATCAAAAAATCACAATTTAATTTTCGTTTTATTTGTATGTTGGCATATACCTTTTAAAATGAATTACATTTACTTCACAGTATTTTGTTTTATAGTTATAAAAATTTAAACAGAGGTTGTATTATATCATTTATTAATAATGTCAGCAGTTTTAACTAAAGAATGTATAAATACATATAGATGCCGGTTTGACACGACCAAATGCAGATGAAAATTTATTTACTAAACAGTGTCAGTTGTCGATACATTTGCTGTATTATGAGATACTTCGGCACAGTCGTCTTTTCATTACTTATTGTTAATAGTTCGCGTCAATACCGAATTAGCGCTCTTTAGTAAATAGCCTCTTTATAACCACCAACGAGCTGTAAAATGAAAAAGAGGCACATATACATGTACATAATCAAATAATCCACCCAACGACGCCTTCAATTCAATTGTCGAATGAGGTGAAAATCACACCTGGAGAGGTTTGGACTATACAGCGGATGGTCGAAAATATCATATTTGAATTTTTTGAAAATGCTATGTTAGCACAATTCAGTCAGAATGATACTCATGACCACGTGTAGTCTAAAAGCATGATTTTTTGTTTTGCCTTGCACACGAATTAGTTTTGCTTTTTAATTTGTCAATTTCTTGCTGGATCGGGAAGTCCTTAAATATGATTTGTCTAAATTCGTGAAAAAAAGATTTCGATAAAAAGTAGAATCGAAACATGCATACATTCCTGCATTTACTTAATTTTCGCACACCTTATACGCTATTAATTTTTATTCTTTTTAAAAATTGGAATGTTAGAGATTTAGATTTTGTATATTTAAAGTTATTTACATTAAACGTTAAACCACATTTCAAAGTCCACGTCAAGTTTTACTTGCTATCGTGTTTTATTTGGAAATATTTTAGATTCGTATCTACCCAAAAAGCAGAATTATTGCTTCTTGCTAATTTCTTGACAAGAAATCTTGCTCTCGTTAAGAGAAATTCTTTTCTTGTCTTGTCTTGTTCCTGTTCGCAAACTTTTAATATTGTTCATGCAAACAAGAACAAGAAGTTCGTGAAACACTATCTAGACCTTGCACGGTGTGATTTTCCTGTTTCAACGATTAGACGGATAACGCTTTAATCTTCGTTTATTTCCTCTGGAGCCCTAGCTTCTCTAATGTGCTAGATGCACACTGGCAAAATCGTATGTAAGTAAGAGTACGGAGCTCATTATATTTTCGTCTCCTGTTGTTAAACAAGTTTTACTTTAAACGTACTTTATGGATTACACGTATGTTACTGGTAGCGACTTTGGCTGCAAATTGTATTCTTAGTTTTCTCGCCTAGTACTTTTCTTTTTTAGTTGGTGTAAATCGTGCTAAATTTCAGGGCTCTAAAGAAAATAAACCAGGTATACCACCAACGAAGGACTGACAAGACATACTTGATCTCACTGACGACAAACTTCTATGTAAAAACATTGTATCAGAATATCCTATATGATAATAAATGCGTTAATCGTGCTGACGATCATGATGAAAATAGATAAGATTACTCATTTTTAAATAATAAAATAATCTGTTACTTTTTTCTACCTTATTGAAGGTTGAAAAATAAAGCAGTTCTTGTACATTACTTAGTTTACTGTTGTTTTGTTTTGTCATGACGGCTCATTGTTCAATTAAGGGAATTTATATGCAGCGCATAAGATTGATTATTAGCCATGCAAAAAACGAAAACAAGAACAAAAAATTAAGTAGGTATAATCTCCAAATGTAATAATCCCAAAAGAACTGGGTCAAATTCGAAGACATTAGTCAAAATTCCTTAAACTTTACTCAGTTAACAACTTTCTTATCATTAATAATAATTAATGGGATAGCGTGGCGTGATATAACACCAACTTGGAACTTACCGAATATACATAAATGCAATTTGTTTGAACTAAAATGATTTGTTGGTACTAAAAATGTTTTCAAGCACCTTTTATTTCAAGGAACATAAATAATAAATAAAAATCCGTAACAAGCAAATATTTTCTCGAAGTGGTTAGCGAACAAGTTGTAAGATGGTAATTTTATATGCAAATTTGTAACCATAAAACGGAACTTTCCCGTTGTTGAATCACTTGATGTTTGCGGATGTAAGATCTGTTGGTACCACATCTTGCTTTATTAAACTTGTAATTTATTAAGTACAAATTACAAATAGACAAGTATAATTATTCGCAAACTGACTCACGCTCAAACGTTCTTGTAAGTTAATTAAAATTATATTATGTGTATATTAGTTACCTAGTTTGTGTCACATTATTCAAATTAACTCCTACATCTAAAACTAAATATTCAAAATATGATATTTAAGGATAAATCTAAAGAGGTCGAATTTTAATATATTTATTGAGTTCATATAAAGAAATAATATAAATAGATTGTTTATCTAACATTTAGTTTTAATAAATATTGTATGTTGCATCAATCGGTGTTCACACTACAATTACGAGTTTACGGTTTAAATACGAACTAGGTAAATAATCTAATGATAATCCATTACACTGTTTTATTACTTTAACATTAAATAAGATAATAAAGTAAATATTAAGCTGTGATATTATCCATGTATGAAGTTAGAAATAAAAAATATTAATTATTAACACTAGTGTTTTTAATGAAGGATTGATGACCTAAGCAAATACAAGGAAAAGTTTAAAATTTTAATTAATTTAAGTTTTTATCTACTTTTACGTTATTATTTATAACGAGACTCACGCCTAGATTTTTTAATATATTCTTTATAATATAGAAAGATTTGGAAGAATGTAATGGGGATGTTCAAGGGGAATACAGTAGCGTGGTTAAGGGACAAAATAATTTGTAAGAAACTACAAGAATATACATACAATGTAGAAATCTTCCCGAAGTGAGTTAGTTTTAATATGAAATATTCTCAATTTTTTACCCACTACACATTTCCTCAAATTAATGAGGAAAAATTTTTGTTGCTGTTGTCACAGCGCCGCCGGTAATCGAACCCCTTAGTGGTCAAAGCATTGGCGCTTAAAGCCAAAGAGCCCGGGTTCGATTCCCGGCGGGGGTGTAACAACAGCAACAAAAAAATTTTTCCTCATTAATTTGAGGAAGTGTGTAGTGGGTAAAAAATTGAGAATATTTCATATTAAAAGTACAAGAAGTTACAATCTGAAGCCGGTCCTGGGCATGATTTGACGATGTGAATATAGTGTAACTAAATTCGTGAGTACAAGTTATGATAAAGGTTGAGCAGCTACACATTGGATAGAATACCTCTTGTATAACACCTAAAGTAAACATAGACAATAACTTACTGCTTACATAACGTAAGAAGTCTGTGGGGTTAAAAGAATAAAAACTACTATAAGCTGATCGTAACATAAACATCGATAATCACACGCAATCTAATCTAACAAATAGCAAGCAATGCATGATGCACAAAAATACAAAAGAACTGCAACGCGGATGCTGCTGATTACCAGTTGATTGAAAGAGACGTTGCAGTGTCGTATTTCCCTGTATGAGCTACCAGGATCGGACTGGCTGTTGCCTCTGCTTTAAATACGTTTTCTCGAAAACGGTAAACTTTTGGATCACCAAACATTTACTTCATTTTTCTGTTTCATTGTACCCTATCACTTCCTGCAAGCTTGCTACTTATTTCGGAAACACCCTGTATTCCTACCGCCTTTTTCTATTTAGGAACATGTTATTTGTGTTTATATAGCATAGTTCGAAAACTTTTTCAGCTGCTTTCAGTAATGTTGCAATATTTCAAGCTTATCATAGGACCGGTAAAACAAAATTTACAAATTGTGTATTATTGCTTGTTGAACCAAAAGGAGGGTATGAATATAAATACGTGGTACCCTAAATGTGGGCAATTTTTAACGATTTTTGTTCTGACTGCTTCAAAAACAGTTAGTTATACAATTTATAAATTAAGCCTTATTATAGTTAACAAATGTTGAACAAAAACTGCACTGTTATAGTTAAGTAAAATTTTATCATAACAATAATAATACATGTACCAATACCATTTAAACGTTAAACATTAAAGTTTAGAAATTACTAGAACGTTTAAGTTTGTAAGCTATTTATGTACACCAATTTTCTATTGTTTGCAATTAATCGGAAAATATTAAAGTGTAACAAACGGCATTTTTTTGAACATGAGAGTGGAGTTTCCTATTTCGTTTCTTCAATTAAACGTTTTATATGTCGTCAACTAGTTGCAGAATGGTGAATGTTATATTTTATACGTTTGTATTAGATGATATTCTTATTAAGACTGTCGTAATACGATGTTCTTTACAATATCGTGCCGTTTTTGAAAAATAATGAAAATTAGGATCTTGTCTTAATTTTGATTTTACTCTTACCTCAAGATGTTGATCTTGTCACTGTATATGTAAGGTATCAATACGTTAAGAAGTGTAAAGAAAATTGAAGCATAAAAAATAGACTCCAACAAAGTTAATAGCAAGTACATGAATATTTTCTTTTTCTAAATTACATAAATATAAATTATCTTGTTTGTTTGTTTTATACGAACATCTCGCTTTTTATTATTGTTTTGCTTATCATGACAAGGTTGAAAAATATAATAAATATAATCATTGTCATCAGCATAAGGTTGTCATTCCTAAGACTGGTTGAATACGTACTCTTTCCTTTTCTGAACTAATCTCATATTCCTAAAACTATAACATCCCACATCTTTAACTGTTTATGACCAATAAATTAATCTAAGTCTACCTCTAC